TTAGAATCAGTAGCTAACGAAGCAAAACCAACATTAACAATAGGCAAACCTGTACCACTGTCGACTCGCAGAATCTCCGGGCCATCATAACGTGTCGCAGAAGTCATCAAAGAAGAATCAGGCATAGCATGATTCGTAGCACCAGTGTTAGGGAACCACTGATGAGGACCGTTGGAATCACCATTATACTAGAGACGGCCACATTAGCCTGAAACCCCAAAGCCCCTGAATAATGCCGAAAACAGTTGACTCATGTGTGACCAAAACATTTACAAATTTGACAAGGATCATCATAGCGCCAAAAACAATTGGCTCCCGTGTGACCAAAACGTTTACAAATTTGACACGGATCATCAATGCCACGTCGTTGACTGGACTGCTTCTCATACGACGTATCTTGGTTCGATGCCATCGGCTACTGCTACGAACATGGATGTTGGAAAAGAAAAACTGATACCATATGAGAATATAATTGTGTTGTATTCCATAATAATGTCTCAGAGTACAGAGAGCGAATATATAGAGATGCTAGATAGAATCCTGATCTAACACGAATAATATAGTCATAGTCTAATATGAATAATATAGTCCTAATAAATACATCTAATGATACTAGATTTTGTATATAAATGATCGAAAATCATCATCTTAGATACATTCTTAAAATGAATTTTCAATCGTTGTTTCATGATTCTCAAAATCTTTTAACTAGATTTATCGGCATTTTAAAATATATTCTATTATTTTCCAGAAATCAATGAATTTGTTGACTAGGTTATATATATGATTATCCCATAAAAAAGAACGCTATAAAGATACATGAGCTTGTTTATTTTTCATCATCATATATCAAATAATTACTATAAATTGAGAATAAGACAACCACTGGCGGAGCCACAATGGGGGCAGCTGCCCCCACTCCCCCATCCCTTAGATATAGTATATATATTACATATACTAACTTGTATACAAGGGTTTATTTAGTCTAGATGGTAAGGCCTTTGTTGCTATAGGGAATGGGCAATTGTTCAAATCCTAAAGCCGCTGTGTGAGGTTTTAGTTCCACGGCTATTTCCAGCTTTTCAAACTCTACTTCGCTCTTCCAGTGACCACTAACCAAGCCAGTATGTGTTTATATGCAGTTATGTGTTTGCATAGTTCATTGCTTATAAGTTACGAGTGTATATACATGTTTTGTGCATAGTTCATTGCTTATAAGTTACGTGTGTATATACATGTTTTGTGCATAGTTTATTGCATATAAGTTACGAGTATTTTTTTTTTTTTTTTGGTTTGATTATGGAAAATTCTTTTTTAAAAAATTTACTTTTGAAGATTCATTTGTCAACTAAAATTTTGCCCCCACTCACAAAAAATTCTGGATCCGCCACTGAAAACAACTGGTATTCATTGCATTGCGCGTTTGAATATTTCCACTAATGAATTACTTATATCATATATTTTTTTTTTGGTGAGAATTACTTATATCATATAAATAACCAACAATCAAGTATATTACCCAATATTATGTTCAATAATGAGTTTAATTAGGGTCCATTTGAAAAGTCATAAAATGAATTTTGTAAAATATTTTCTGGTTTTCAGTGTTTGGTAAGAGGGAGGAAAATGAGGTCAATGAAAAATTATGTTTAGTCAAAAGAAAATAGGTATGATTTGTGGAAAAATGACTTCCTTTTTTTTTTTTGTTGGAGAAGTCATTTTTCAAGGGATGCACATGTAAAATTTATCGGGCCCAATTTCTAGTGGGCTTTTGTGGTCCGGCCATCGAGCTCGCAGACTAGGGTCCATGCAACCATAGCCCGCCACATGCGGGTTGGCGAGTCCCGGTCTGGCCCGCGTGTTTTTTTTAATTTTCAATTCAAAGTTCACAAAAATAAGTAAAGTCTACAAACATTAATATTGTGAATTTGCAATCCAACTTTAAAATTTAACAAAAATTAAAATTAATTCAAAGTTCAAAAAAATAAGTAAAGTCTATAAATAGTATTAATTTTTTCGTATTTAAAATTTAAAAAAATTACATTAGGTGAAAATGTAAGAACAAATCTTGTGTATCAACTAATTAATTTTAATGGTCTAGATTAAGTGTGTACGAACGTGAATATAAATAAATAAATAAATAAATAAATATATATATATATATATATATATATATATATATATATATATATATATATATATATATATATATATATATATATATATATATATATATATATAGAGAGAGAGAGAGACCTTCACAAGGCTTAATGAGTGCTATTTACAGAAAGATTTTATCAATAGTATTAAACATTTAAAATGTTGAAGTATACAATTCTATTCATTTTCCTGTTTATTTTCTGGAAAATGAAGCAAACACACAAAGACAGTTTTCTGTTATACAGCCAAACACCAGAAAGGAAAATGTTTTATGGAAAATGAGTCATTTTCCAGAAAATATTTTCTAGAAGTCATTTTCCTGCTTTTCAAACGGAGCCTTAGTCGATCTTTCGGTTGCGATTAATGGTTAATGTAGACGAAGTATAGTTGGATTGGACCTTTAGCCAATAGGGTTTGACCAGGCCTAGTACCTAGTAATTGGCAAATTATATCGTGCAACGCGGTGCATAATCGATTATGCACCGAACTTCAAAACGACGTTGTTTTGTTTAATGAAAAGAAACGACACCCGTTTCACGCCGTTTTGTAAAAAGTAACTCTGTTATTCAGTTTTATTTTGTATACACTGCAGTTTCAGTTCAACACAACTACAGTTTCATTCGATATTTATACACTCAAATATGTGAAAATATTATTTAATTTTATTTTATATACACTATAGTTTCATTAAAACACAACTACATGATCATTTCAATATAACTACAGCTTCATTGCACAATATACACTCAAATATGTGAAATGTTATTCAGTTTCATTTTATATACACAACAATTTCATTTCATCACAACTATAATATCATTTTGATATAACTGCAGTTTTATTTGAAAAATATATAAAATAATACGTGAGGCAGTGTCGGTTTAGATACACTGTAGTTTCAGTTGGTAATTAACACACCAAAAAATGTGTGTTTCGTTAACAATAACGGCGCGCTATTTCTTTACTTAAAGAAACGACGCCATTTTGACCGCATTGCACGTGCGCTGCCGTCCACAGTATAACGACTGCGAGTACTCCAAATGTAGGTTATACTCGGTTACTCCACCGTCACATACACATTCATACACGTCTCTCATTTTCGAGTTGAATTTGCATATGTTTTATTGAGAGAGTTGCTTTGTGATATAAAAGGATTTCCATTTTGCTTTACTTTTTTTTTTCTTTATTAAATCAATTTTTTGTTTTTATTTATTTATTTATGTTATGATGATGATATATCATGTAGGTGCTTAAATTTTTGTTTTTTTAAAAAAAAAAAAAAATAGTGAAATGGGATCTTCAACTCCTGATCTGAATGTATATATACCATTCATCTTAAAAAAAAAAAAAATTGTATAACATAGCGTGCAACTTGTGTGCACCAAAACGCGAGCACATTAATTTGACATAAGAATTTATTTATTAATTATATATGTGTGATAAGAATTTATTTATTAATTATATATGTGTGTGAGCTGATTTTAACATAAATCATTGCATCATTTTTTTAGTTGAACTTGCATCTGTTTCATTGAAAGAGTTACTCTACGATTTAAGAGGTTTTACATTTTACTTTACTTATTATTATTATTATTAAATTGATTTTCTCTTGTTTATTTATTTATGTTATGAACTTACGATGATGACGTATCATGTATGTGTTTAATTTTTTTTTTTTTTAAAGAGTGAAATCCTTACCCTAAAAGGCTGAATTCCCAACCCTAAGGGTCCCTCACACTCCGACCCGATAGAGCATGTGGGAGGATGTAACGGTGACTCAATGAGTTAGTATACAGGGCCAAATACCGCTGCGCATAAGGAATCTGCCCACTTTGAAAAAAGTGAAATCTTGATGCTACCACTTACCATCCAGGTGATTCAAATTCTATTTCAAAACTTTAATTTTAATTAGATGATTTAGATTTCTATTTTTTTTTTAGCAAATATATGTGTGTGGTGTAAAGAAAATCATCATTATATATGTGCCCTAGAATTTAGATCTAACAATACTCACTAGTACAAAATTGAACATAGAAGATTGACCATAGACCACCATTTTTGAAAGAATGGTTGCCTAATCTTAGCCCAAAAATTTGCAGTGGCAATTTTGTAAATAAGTGAACAATAATCCGCCACCATTGTTAGTTGTAATGGTTGCCCATTGTATTTTGTATTTATTTAAAAAATAATTGATTTATAACAGGCAATCATTTCTATTAGAAAGAGCAAATACCAATTTTGGTCCCACAAGTATTAGCAAAATGACGGTTTTGGTCCACATGTTTAATTTCTACCAATTTTCATCCCACGACTATTGTTTTAGTACCAATTTTCATCCATGACTATTATTTTAGTACCAAAATTCATCACGCTGGTCACCCCTCCATCCAAGACATGTCGAAATCTAAAAATTTAAGGGCATTTTCGTCATTTTCAACTTAAGACTCTAATTTAAGCATGAATAAAGGGTTGTAAGCCCTAAGATCAATCCCAATTGGCAGTTCTCTTCCCCATCCTACTTTAATTTGAGGAGAAAAACTGCGAATCACGATAGATCTTAGGGTTTAAATCTTTTAATTCATGCTCAAATTGGGATCTTAATTTTAAAAAGACAAAAATATCCTTAATAATTTCATATTTCAACATGTTTTAAACAAATATGTGACTGACGTGATGAATTTTAACACTAAAACAATAGTCGTAATTGGTAAGAACTAAACATGTGGACTAAAATTGTCATTTTGCTAATACTTGTGGGTAGATCTGATGGAGAGATGTGGTTGCTTATTATAAAACAAGTCCTAATATTAACCCTAGATCTACCCACATCTCTCCATCAGATCAGATCTGATCTGCGCGCTCATCATCCTCTCATACTTAACATATCGATCGGGAGAAACCGGCCACCCACCGCCGATCTCCGATCTTCGACGCCGCTGGCCACCCACCGCTCCTTCGTTCACCGCGGCGCACCGCCACACGCCACACGCCACAGATCTGCTCCGATCTCGCCGGCCACCCGCCGCCGTCTCCTTCTATCACCGCGGCGCACCGCCACACGCCACAGATCTGCTCCGATCTTCAACGCTGTCTGACGCCACCGACCGACCGCCGTCTGCTTCGCGACGCACCGCCACACGCCACAGCCGCGGCCACCCACCGCCGTCTGCTTTGTTCACCGCGACGTCGCACGCCCCCACCACGACCAGCCGCCATCCCCGCCGGCGCCACTGCCGCCTCCCCGGCCGCCGATCTGCAGGTTAGTTTGTTTGTTTTTTATTTTATTTATCTAAGTAGTTTCTCTGAAATTTTTTGTCTGCTTAGATATTAAAGAGTGCTGTATCTTTACTGAACTTGGTTTTGTATGATTTCATTGGAGAATCAGTAGTTTCAGTGTTAGATAAATAGTTATGCATTTTGCATCTGAAAAACTCCACATCAAATTACTGGTGGATGTTCTGATGTTATTTATTTATTTATTATGTTTGTGGTTTTTTTTTTTTTTTTTTTTTTTTTTTTTTTTTTGGAAAACTGGGAAAGGGTACCCAAGCTGGCAACGAGCCTAGCTCTCTTGCCATCTCTTCTGAAGAACTATTTGCACTTTCTCAATTTCAAGTTGACCTATCACCTCTATAGGAGGTTCTATAACCTCAATCCAATCACAACGCCTCATTGATTTTAAGAATTTCTTTAAATCTATAGATTTTATATATGCCCATTTCGAAAAGAAAATCAAATTTTTAGTCCAAATTGGTTGTTCACATTGGTTTGACATGAGAATTTTTTTATTGGTTATATATGTGTGTGGGCATATTTTAACAACCCCAATCCTCTTCCCCGACTGAAAATGTATAACTCTGTTATGTTTAATACTCCTTCTAATTGACATATATTTGTATCTATATTATTATGAAAGAAGTATGCTTGTATTTTTTTAAGTAATATTCTCGAGCTGATTTAGAAAGTAAGTTTAATTTATTTTCAAAATATATAAAACGTCAAGCTCAACGGTCTCACCGTGTCTATTCAGGAGACTAGTAGAGTAAATAAACGTGTTTTAATTAACTAACAAATAGTTAAAAAATCATTAAATATATGATGAGATCCAATAAAAGGACTATACAGAGAATTTTAATCCGTAGCAGATATTAGTGTACAAAGGGCCATCGAATTAAACATATTTTGGTGACTATATCATTATCTGTGGGTTGAAAGAGGTATTCTGATAAATACATTTAATTTGTGCATATATTGGTAATATCATGCTGAAAAAGAATTCGAATAATTAAAATTTATTCATCTAATTAATATGATTTTTTTAGTACTATTGACTATCTTACAATGTAGTAGTCACGATTATGCCGCTTAATCACAAAACGATCTCCAAATTTATATCTGTTGAGCCATACTCCCAAATATTGTGTCTAGTCGGGGTGTGAGGGGCCCTTAGTGTTGGGATAACCTTTTGAGTGAAGAAGAATAAAAGAAATTAAAATCACTTGACGAGTGGGTAATAGTCAACACCTATCCATAAAAGAAGGGAAACTATAAATGTGAATGAGTCAATTAACAATTACTAGAGAAGGAAACCAGTTACGGGTTGCCTTCTCTGATGAGAAGGCAACTTGAGGCTGCCTCCTCATCGGAGAAGGCAACTCAATTGTCTTCTCCAGTAAGAAGGTGGCCTAGGTCGCCTTCTCAACGGAGAAAGCAACCCAGTTGTCTTTTTCGGTGAGAAGGAAATCTTGCATTCTCACCGGAGAAGGTAAGTGATTTTTTTATAAAATAATTATTTAATTTAAATTTATTTAAATAAAATTAAAAATATTTTAAAATTCGATAACTGCCACGTCAACATGTTACTAGTTCAATGTCATTTTAAGTTGAATTACATTATTTTGTATTGTTCAATTATTTAATTGTAATTTTTTTTAATTCGATAATCCAATTACAATTTGTTGTGTAGTTGAATGGTCTATTGGACCCTTATTTCAAATTTTAGTGATTCTAATTTTATGCGAGGCCCAACTAGTCGTAGAAAAAGGTAATCACCATGATCGGACCTATTCACTGGCCTAGCCCATTTAGTGATTCGTCTTTCTTCAATTTCACAGAGTTTTCGCTGGATTTACTGATTTACACCAATTGAAGTCCAAACACCACCAGGAACAAGGTGTCTGTTTAACGGTGAATTTTCAGGTATTTTTCCTTCCCTTTTGCCCCAAATCATGCTCTTTAGATTCATGTTGATTTTTGTCATATAAAAGAAGCGCGATCTGATCAATTCTGTTCCGAGCTTTGTTTTCTACGGTCTGATTAGCATAAGCTAGCTTAAACGTTTCGAAATTTTCAATTTTTTGTTTGATCGATTATTGCAGCTGCATAAGCAAATTTGTTTAGGATGGCAAACCGACCTCAGATCCGCACCAGCAACTCGGCACTCATTGCTATGATTGGTGATGAGGTAAAGGATGCTAACTTAATTGATTTACTCTACGATAAATGCCAGTTTTGTATTGCTTTGTGCAAATTTTGTGTTTAGGGCTTTAATCTGTGGCTAATCAAATCATGATTTTCCTGTATGTTATCATACTTAAATTGTATTTTGGTAAATTGCCTGCTAGTATTCAGTTCATACTTAATCAGAAAGGTCAATCAATAATTGTTTTCCTGCAAAATCCATGAAACCAAATTAAGGATGGAAGTTGTTGGAGTGTGTTCGGTATAATGTCTAAGTACCACCAGTTCTTTTGTGATTCGCTGCTGAAGTGCCATGGGAATTTAGTTGTCACATGAACACAGATTGACAAATGTTTGGTTGCATATACTTTATGGATGGACAAACGAAATGTGTGTACTAAGTTTCATGGTTTTACTGAGGTGTGTTTTTCTGTATTAGTTGCCGCTCTTGAGATTTCTTACAATATGCAAATGTAGGATACAATCACTGGATTTTTAATGGCTGGAGTTGGCAATGTGGACTTGAGGAGAAAAACAAACTACCTTATTGTGGATTCAAGTACGTTTTTGGCTTTGAATTCCTATCTTTCAGTTCCTTGAGCATGATTATATCACAGTAGCATATGATTAATCACTATGTTGGTGACCAATGGACTAAAATTTCCTATTGTAACCCAGCATTAAGGGTGACTCACCATTTTGTTGAAAAGTGTGAAGTTTGAATCTATATCTAGAGTTTGTTTTTCTTTTTCATATTTGGATTCAAATATTTGTAAATTTAAAATAAAGCCATCTTTATTGTTAGCAAACTATGTAGAATACTTAGTTCATTTTCACTCGTAAATTCCAGCTTTATCAGTGGAAAAGTAAGCAAACATAGCCTGGTTTTGTTTTCTCTGATTTCTTCATCCAAAACCAATATTATTTTTTTAATAACATTTTTTGTAAAGAAGTTTGAATCAATTTATTTTCCTTGTTATGGTTTAGAAACTACGGTGAAACAGATTGAAGATGCTTTTAAAGAGTTCACTACAAGAGAGGACATTGCAATAGTGTTGATCAGCCAATATGTAAGTGTTATTTTATTTCCTGAATGTTATATTGACTTGGTTTAAGCTTCCTCCTCGTCCATTATGTCTTGTATGTTTCATAGATAAATGACACTGTCGTGGAACAGTATTACAATCTGGAAAAGTTTTATACATCTGGAAATTGTATAATGCATTGGATTTTTTAAAATCAAATTGGTGTGCTACAACCACTCCACTAGGAATGTTTACGGGCTAACAGCTCCCTTAACGTTTTACAATCATTTGTTCTTGAGATTAAGCTATAATCCTTTCCACTGCACTTCAATGTTCAGGTTGCAAACATGATAAGGTTTTTGGTTGATGGTTATAACACGCCGATACCAGCCATCCTGGAGATTCCTTCAAAGGACCATCCCTACGATCCTGCACAGGATTCCATTCTTTCACGAGTGAAGTACCTCTTCTCTACCGAATCTGTGGCATCTGGACGACGCTGAACTTGATGATTCTTGTTTCTAAACCGCCCTTTTAGAGTTTAGACTCTACTCATCTGCACCTGCATTTATTTAAATTCATTTTTGAGTAATAATTCCTTGTGCTGGTTGTTACTTGTTACTATATCTATATGTTTTGCCAGCAAACTGAAAATTTGTAGCATGGAGATCTGAGTACCTAGGTCACCTGCTTGACATTTTCCTTGTGGTTTACACTCACAGGATGCAATAAAATGATTTATACCCCAGAAAGGGTAGAGAACATCCATCTTTGAGCTTCTTAGTTCTTGTAATTTGTACTGCTTATATTTCAACTTCTCCAAATTGTTCAATCTTTCAACCCATCAGAAGCACTTATTTTTAACATATTTCATTTCAAACAACAAAATAAAGTTAAGTTTTGTGCACAACACTTTGAGCTCAACAGGTGCATAACCCATACAATGCATGTGTTTGCCAAAAGGTTGAATTCTTAACCCCAAGGGATCTTGTACGGGTTCTAAACTTCTAATATGTTACGTAGGAGTGTCAATGTGGGTTGAAGCTCACGGACTAGTCCTAAACTGCTTCTCAGTGGGGAAGGTTAGGGCCTAATTTTTTGGCCCGCAAAAATGTGGGCCTTGTGGGCTTGACACGCGTGGACTGGAGGGCTATATATGCAGGTTAGTCCGTGAACTTCAACGTTATGCACTTATAGCTTTAAAGTTATGATCAAGGTTTTGTACTTCAAGGATTAAATATATAGACCAAATTAAAGGTTTAAAGTTATGCATAGGGAGACAGTTAAATGTTGTTTTATGACTTCGTTGGCTGAGAATATTTGATTAGATTTAGTTAATTCAAGATTTTGAATGCATTATTAATGTTTCAGCAGAGGTACAAACCAGTTTAATCCTGTTTTGTGGACACACGTTTATCTACAGATGTGTTCACTAGAGTAAAAAAAAAAAAACCTTCCCACTTCAAGCTGCATAACTTTACAATTAAGGATGCATAAATTTGCATTTTAAGGTACATAATTTTGAAGACTCAGGTGCATAGCTTCGCACATGATTTTTTTTTTCTTTTTTTTAAACTTTGCACCTCGAGGTGCATAACTTTGTAGCTAAGGGTGCATAAATTTACACATTTAAGTGCACAACTTTAACCTTACGAAGATAAACTATGCACCTAAAGAAGAAACAATATGCACTCGAAGAATGAATAATACGCACACGAAGAAGGAAAATAATGCACCCAAAGAAAAAAAAAAAAAACTGAACTTACGCACAATTACCATAATGCTACCGTATTTAAAAAAAAAAAAAAAAAACTTTTTTCTCCATTCTAAATGCTTGATCGGGATAAAATCAATAGTTGAGATTTAACCCCAATTTTAATTTGGAAGAAGCTTCGCATATGATCTCTAATATATATATATATATATATATATATATATATATATATATATATATATATATATATATATATATATATATATATATATATATAAAACACACACTATAATAATTTTTTTTTAAATTTAATAATTTATAAAAAATTTAAGTTGACCCGTGAAACCACATGAGGCGGACTAGGATTGAATAATTTTAGCGCGTAGGCCATCACGCAAAAATTACAACCTGCGGTGGGGCGTGCTAGCTCGAAACCCCTAATCTTAAACCAATTAGTAACACTCAATGAAGACGGGTAGTAATAAATTGCGATAAGATCACTCAAACATTGAATAACAATTGAAGGGTAATTATTTAATTTCTATAATTTTCTTTTGCCTCTACTGTTTTCCATCTTGTCCAAATAAAGAAATATTAAAAATCTTTGACTACCAGGGTCTTTGTTGGATAATTATGAATCTGCTACTTTTTACAATTACGGAGTAATAATTATCTTCAGTAATTACATTAACGTATGCAAAATAAACCGTTTTCAATTTTATTCTAAATATACACAGATAACAATCAAATGAGTTTCTTCTCAATATAGTAAAACAATTAACTCAAAATTATCTCTCGATCTCTTACTTTCAAATCTTATATTACCGTTAAAGCTTTTTTTGGAAAAAAAATAATTAATTTTTTGATTAATTTTGATTCATAAGATTGCCTGCTTAGATTTCCATTTGGGATGGGATCGATTTGGTCGTCTATTGGTTTTATACGAGGTTGATCTTTCCATTAAAAACTATGTCATATACTCTTTATGAAAGCACAAATAATAGTATTAATACAAATTAATTAAAATTGAAAATAAAACAAGTGATATATTGAGTATACGAGCTAACTCTTCTTTATTATATACCGAATTTAGTATGTATAAATGAATGGGTATCTAAATATTACAACTCATACATTGATTATGTATATCTATTAAAAATAAATATAATAAAAACCAATTTAAAGTTAAGTCTTTAACGGGAACAAAAAAATGTTATTGTAATTGTTTGTTTAATGAATGGTTCTTATTATTTTTGTTTTAGTATTTTGTTACGATTTTCTATTTTACCCATTATTATTATTATTATTATTATTATTATTATTATTATTATTATTATTATTATTATCCCCGCATTCCGTCAGTGTAAATTTTAGTAACCGAATATTACGTTAATTATTTATTATTTTTAACTTACTCATTAATTTTCATTAGTAAGGTCTTAGGTTCGAATCTCATTCCAATCAGGTTGACATAATTGTTGAACATAGACTATGAATATGTTAGAATATATTAAAAAATACAATATAAAACTTAATATTAACTTTAGTCAATTAATTATCCAAACTATATACATAACATTCAAAGTTGAGCATCAAAGTGTATAAATAAGGAACCTTGAAATTCATTTTCTTTGTTTTTTTTTTTTTTTTTTTGTTTTTGTTTTTGTTTTGTTTTGTTTTGTTTTTTTTTGTTTGTTTTGTTTTTGTTTTTGTTTTGTTTTTGTTTTTTTTTTTCGTTTAATTAATCTTATTTTGATTATTTAGAACAAGACTCAATATTTTAATTTTGCTTTTACATTATTGGGAATGATTTAGATCAATATAGTATTAATAATTTTTGTTTGTATTTTTATAATCGTACTATTATATTGTACATTACTTTAGAAATATTGTATTATTATTTTTTAATCATAAAAAATTATTCTTACATTATTAAAGTTCTATACCTATTATTTATGAGTAATGCTACCCACCCCTTCTAATCTCACTGTTGAGTAGGGGTGTAAACGAATTGAATCGACTCAAATATCTTGCTATTCAATTCGAATTCGACTATTTTTAGAATTATTTGTATTCATATTTGATAAATATTTGAATCTAAAAGTTTATTCGTATTCGATTCGGCTACATTATTCGAATATATTCGATTTGACTCGAATATTTGAACTCGAAATGCCTAATTTAATTTTTTTTCAAGATCTCCAATAAATTAAGATAAAATGTAATAAAAATTTAAATTTTTCGAATTCGACTACTTTTAGAATTATTTGTATAAAATTTTCTATTAATATACTATTATACTATTATACTAATATTCTATTAATATACTAATTTTCTTCACCGGAGAAGCTGCCGGAGTTGCTGAGTGTTACCTTGCTATCCTCCACCGCCGGAAGCTAAAAAAGAAACAGATCGAAGAAGTCATCACTGTCGTCGTGCTGCTAACAAGAAGAATCTGTCACAGTCGTCAACTAGTCATGCTGCTGCCGCTGCTGTACGTACATGAAGTCCACCATCATTGTCGACTTGTCGTCGTCCCAGATCTGTAGTGGAGTGGCAAGAAGAAGCTTTAGCTATGAAGTGGCGAGTGGCGACTGCATGAGGGGAAGGAGAAACTTTAGCTATGACTTTAGAGTTTAGAGTTCTGCATGAGGGGAAGAAGATCACTAACGAGGGCTGAGTCGCTAAGGTAGTGAGGCGTTTAGAGTTCTGGTCTTATATACTTACGTGATTATTAATATATTCGAATATTAGTCAAATCAAATATATTCGTATTCGAATAAAATTCGAATCGAAATATTTGAATTCGAATAACGAATAAAATTAAAAATATTTGATTTGTTTACACCCTTACTCTTGACAATACACTTTTTATTGGATGATTTAGTCTTTGATAACAAATTAGTCGGTTCCAATTTATGATACACAATTGTTATAAGCCATGTCAGGATGGATTTCAGGGGAGGGATTTAGGGGAACTCCCTTCAACCCCTCCCTACAAGCCATTGATTTTGCCAATAGAGGATCGTGCATGCAATAAAGGCTACAATGAAATCTCCAATAGTTGCTGCTATCCCAGCACTGTATGTAGCCGAACCTGCTCTCGGAAGAAGACGTGCGTCAAACCTACATACAATGGAACACGCCCCCTCCTCCGTCCCTCTTGTGTGACTGTCCCTCCAGCCTCCACCAGCCGCACCACCTGCCACGACGCTACTGCCATCGCTGCCCTCCTCCACACACCAGCCGGCCTCACCAACCATTGCTCCCATTTTTGCTTCATTACGTGCTTCCCAGATGGCATACAAAATTGTAGCAGCTGAAACAAGAGAATCACTGTCAAGGCATGCCAAAATCATGTTCAACCACTCCGCCATTGACCAGTTTAGGGGCGTAGGAAGCGTGAGTTGAGAGCTGCTCCAAACTGCTTGAGCAAACTCACAGATAACAAATACATGTTTCATTGTTTCTGAAATGATCCAGCCCACACACCTTACACTCCACCGCTACATCGACCATTCTTCCTCTTAAATTAATAGCCACCGGTAACACCGCTCTAGCAAGTCTCCAAAGAAAAGACTTCCACTTTGGTGGTAATTTAAGCTTCCACAATGTATACCATTTCTCAAACTCACCTTCTGGGTTATCTACCGACATTGGCTCCACTAGACACCTATAGTCATTCCTTACCGTATAATGTCCCCGAATATCCCCATTCCAGTACCAAGTATGGCCAAAGGCTGGGCAAATAGGAGTTTGTAAGATTAACTCCACATCTCTAGGCTCTAAAATATCCTACAACACCTCCATGTCCCAACTGCTTGAATATGGAATCATTAGGCTTGCCACTATAGCATCCCTCAGCAGTTCTGGCTGTGAGGTTTGAACCATCGGGTTGCCATCATCAAGTAGCCAGAGGTGTGTCCAAATATTAGTGTTATGACAATTTCCAATCCTAGACCTTATCCCACGTCATAACAAACCTTGGGTTGCCAAAATACTCCTCTAACAACAATTAGGATTATTACCCAAAGTAGCCTCCAAAAAAGAACTATTAGGAAAAT